CCCCAATTCCCCAATAAAAATCTTTAAAAAAACAAAAAAAACAAAGTGTGTGAGTTTAATGTCATGAACTCTGTAGCTATATCTGTGAACAGATCTTTCATAATTTTCTCATGATAGATTCCCAGAAATAAAATCAAAAGATCAAAAGATATCCATATTTTATAAATATTGCCAAATTACCATCCAGAAATGTAGCAATTTACATTCCTACATTGTATGTGAGTAAATCAGTAAATGTTGATGACATGGAGCTTCTGAGCCCCTAAAATTTCTTTTTTTTTTTAAGGAGGGTGCAGCTCACAGTGGACCATGTGGGGATGGAACCAGCAACCTTGGTGTTCTCAGCACCACACTCTAACCAACTGAGTTAACCGGCCACCCCCCTACCAATTTCGTTTTCAGAATTCTCTAGGATCTTTAAACAGACAGCTTGACTTCTGATGGCACTTGCCTGCTTTGCACATGTAGAAGGTGCCTGACAGATTGGTCTCAATCACAGCATGCCATCCCTTTGAAGTGATATGTTCAGCAGGAGATATATACTGGCCTCCTCCATTGTTTACCAAGTAATTGATCTTGCCATAAATATCTAAGGTGGATTTGATCAAATTATTCACCTAAAGAAAGACATTAAAGGCAAACTGGTTAGTAACCTAATCTGCTCCTTGGACTGATGACTTCCTGTAGGGTAGCCACAGAGCTGACGATCTCTCACTGGGAATGGTAACTCTAGGTACCACAATAGCCCCAGATCAAAAAGCTAAGTTTGCAATTTTGCTTCCCTTCCTCTCCTTCTCCTGAGGTGACTTAAGAAGTCCTTCGAGTACTCTCTTTCACAGGCTATGCTTCTCATGAACCTCATGAGACAGCTACCATCGGAAAACCTGAAGCACAGTCGGGTTTAGGAACGACTACTATAAATTAAAAATGAATGAATAAATGATATAGACATATTTGCATTACCTCCTCTTCCTTACGGATGTTGCATTGTATGGGAGTGATTTGAGACTGGTTGATGGCGGGCAGGCTGGCCTTCAGTTCATCTGCAGCAGATTTTAATCTATCAAATTTACGGGATGCAATGACCACATTACAGCCTGAAGAGAAAACAGCCAAGTAAGTAATTTGCTTTCACTGGTTATCCAAATTCCACAAATAATAATGTTGGAAAATATGCATATGTTCTCATAAAAAGAGATGAATGATGACTTCTGTTTCTCATCAAGATGGAGGTAACAGGAACTGTTTTATGTATTAATGCAAATACCGACTTAACCTGTGATTATCTAGGCATTTACTTCATAGATGGCTATCTTCAATAAACACAGTGCCAACCACAGGACTAGATAAAGGGCCAGGTCACCTACCCCGATTGAGGCTCCTTTGTTGTATAGGTCTCAGTTGACTTTTCGATAACCATTTGTGCTACTTGTTTTTTCTCTTCCCATGCTTTAAATTCACACACACACACACACACACACACACACACACACACATATATATATATATATGTTTTGTTGTTTTTTTAATTGGGTGAATTGGGGGATGGGAACAGCGCTGGGGAATTGGGGGGAGGGGAACAGACAAGTTGCTGTCGTTTTGTTCTTCANTTTGATACTAACACAAGAAAGGAGAATAAGTTTATCTAAATTACCTTAGACTTTCTGCTTCTGCTTAAATACCACTCTATATTTTACTCTGAAATCATCGTTGTGTTTCTCCATTGACACTTTCCAGGGCTATCATGGGGATATTTCCTTAAGACATTTGAGATAGTCATCAGATGCCAGTCACAAATCCAGTTTGTTGTAACCTGGGCTTCTGCGTGGCTCTAAATCAGAGGTTCCTATAACCATAACCTCCTCCTTGGATTCGACTAATTTACTATAGCAGCTCACAGAATGCAGGGAACCAGCAAACTCACTAGATTACCAGTTTATTACAAAGCACATTAAAGGATATGAATCAATAGCCAGATGAAGAGATACATAGGACAAAGTCCTAAACAAAGGAGCTTCTGTGCTCACAGAGTTTGGGGCCCAGCACTGTAGCATGTGGAAGTGTGATGGTTAACCAACCTGGAAGCTCTCTGAACTCCATCCTTTTGGGTTTTTATGGAGGCTTCATTACATAGGCATGATTGATTAAATTATTGGCCATTGGTGACTGATTCAACTTCCAGCCCCTTGCCCCTCCCCAGAAATCAGGGGGTGCGACTGAAAGTTCTAACCCTCTATTCACAGTTGGTTCCCTGGCAACCAGCATCACCCCCTCACCCCCCATCGTTAAGGGATTTCCAAAAGTCACTTTATTAACATAAATTCGGTTGTGGTTGATAAGGGTTTATTGTGAATAACCAGACACCCATTTCACCTTTATGGTTCTGAAGTGATTTCAAGAACTAAGGACAAGAGACTAAATATAACAAAAGATGCTTCCATTGCTTTTGTTGCTCAGGAAATTCCAAAGGTATTTCCAAGGGGAGCTGTGAGCCAGGAACTGTGGATGGAAGGTGTATTTACAAATCACAATATCACAGTTCATTATGATTATGGAACTACCATAATACCCCTAGACTTCCTACCTGCACTATTTATGGGAGGGATAAATAAACTATTGGGGAGGAGGGAGAAATTTTCCTCTATCTTTCTAGGTTCTTCCAGGTGGTCTAATAATTAAATCTACATGAGACAGATTATTAAGAAGAGAAAATAAGCAATTTGAATTATATATATAAGTATAGGAATTCCACATACATGAGTCAGAGACCCCCACATACATGAGAGGTTCTAAGAAAAAGTTAACAAGAGGTATATATGGCACTCTGAGCTAAGGATGAGGTTAGGTGCCTTGGGGCTTCAGCGGGGAGGAAGGTCACTGAAGGATAAGAAGAGCAGGTGTTCAGTAATTAGATGTTTGCCCTGCCCTATAGATAGATTGTAAAAAGGAATCTCTGTAATAACTCTGATTATGGGCAAGGCCTCCCATTTAGATTCTTCTAAGTAGTTAAGGAAGAGGCAGACGTTTCTCCTAAACTTGCCAGGTCTTGATTGCCTTCAGCTCAAAATAATCCACATGCCAAAGCAGCACAACTTGGGGAGACTGTTCTCAGCCCCTTCATTATCTTATTTAAACTCCTGGGGTTTTTTTTCTGGGTATCTACACTAAAGCAGCCAATCTTGTATCACAACAAATACAGAGCTTTATATTGCTAGTTAAATTAAAATGAAGCCTGGGAATGTCTGCAAGAGCTTTGACTTAGAGATACTAAGAATATAAAGCCTAACTCATGTTGGGCTAATGATCCTTTGGGTCAGAATTATACTTGTTCTACATTTGCATCATAAAAAAAGTCTTGGATGGTTTGAAAGGAAACCCTTGAGTTAACCAGCTTCAGGAGTTTAATATTACCATCTGTGAAACATAACCTTTAATCCAAAAACTATGTGTGCATCCTAATTAGTAGTTAGAAAAATATGGACTCTGGTATTCTCCCGAAAGACTTGACTGAATTACTGTATTTCCCCATGTATAAGACGCACCCTTTTTCGAAAAATTTGGGGTCTAAAAACTGGGTGCGTCTTATACAGTGGTTGTATGAGCACAAAAATAAGCATGAAAAAAGCGGGAAATGCAAGTAAAAAGAACTACAACCACTGTATAAGACGCACCCAGTTTTTAGACCCCAAATTTTTTNATCCAGGAGTTGTAAACTGCAGGAAACAAACAAATGAAATCATATTAAATAGTGTTCTGACCCTTCTCTGATTCCCTGTTCTAGTATGCTGCTTATTTGATATATTTTAAATTTTAATTTATATTTCTTCTTACAAAAAGCCTGATTGAAGTACAATTTACATATGGTAAGATCCATCCCCATTGTGTACAATTTATTGAGTTTTAATAAATATACACAATTGTGTAACCATCATCACAATCCAGTTTTAGAACATTTCCATCACCCCAAAAAGTTCCTTTCTGCCTATTTGCAACCTAACCCATCCCACAACAAGCACTCATTTACACTCTATTTATTTGCCTCTTTTGAACATTTCACATAAATGAAATCACACAATATGTGGTCTTTTATGAATGGCTTCTTAGAATGTTTGTGAGGTTCATCCATGTTCTAACACTTATCAATAGTTACTTTGTATTGCTGAGTAGTATTCCATGTATGGATATGCCACATTTTTATTTAGCTTGTTTCCACTTTTGAGTGGTTATGAACATAAGTCTTTATATAGAAACAAGATTTTCTTTCTCTTGGGTAGGTACCTACGGTTGGTATGCAGGGTCATATGGTTTAGCTTTTTAGGAAACTGCCAAGCTGTTTTCCAAAGCGTCTCCACTGTTTTACATTCCTACCAGAAATGCATGAGGATTCCAATTTCTCCACAGTATTACTGTCTTTTTCATTATAGCCATTCTAGTGGGTGTGAAATGGTATCTCACTGAAGTTTTGATTTGCATGTCCTTAATGACTAATGAAAGGGGTTGAGTATCTTTGATGTGCTTATTAGCCATTCACATATCTTCTTTGGTGAAATATCTATCAAAATCTTTTGCCAATTTTTTAATTGGGTGGTTTTCTTATTGAATTATATAAGTTCTTAGTATATTATGAATTCAACACCTTTTTCAGATACGCGCTTTGGAAATCTTTTCTCCCAGTCTGTGACTTCTCTTTTCATTTTCCTAATGGTGTCTTTTGAAGTACAAATGTGTCTCATTTTAAGTCTAGTTTATCAATCTTAAATTTTATGGATGGTATGGTTGGTGGTATATCTTAGGACTCTGCCTAACCTAAGGTCAGAAAGATTTTCTCCTTTGCTTGCTTCTAAAAGTTTTATAATTTTATTTTTTGCATTCAGGTCCATGATCCATTTTGGACTTTTGGTTAACTTTTATTTATGGTGTGAGGTAAGGGTCTTTTTGCATGTGGATATCCAGCTATCCCAGTCCATTTGTTGAAAAGGCTATCATTTCCCCATAGAATTGCGTTAGCTCCTCTGACAGAAATCAGTTGACCATAAATACAAGGGTTTATTTCTGGACTCTGAATTCTGTTCCTTTATCTATACATCTATCCTTATGCCAGTACCACAGTGTTTTCAAACCAAGAAGTAGCTTTGAAATCAAGAAGTATAAATCCTCCAACTTTCTTCTTTTGTAAAATTGTTTTGGATATTCTGGGTCCTTTGCATTTCCATATATATTTTAGGACCAGCTTGTCAATTTGCAAAAAAAATTGATAGGGGTTGCATTGAACCTATAGATCAATTTAGGAAGGAATGCCATTTTAATAATGTTGAGTCTTCCAAGCATATATCTTTCCATTTATTTAGATCTTTCATTTCCTTCAATAATGTTTTGTAGTCTTTAGCATCTAAGTCTTACACTTCCTTGTTAACTTCATTCTTAAATATTTTATCATTTTTGAAGCCCAATTTGACATATAGGCA